GCTTATGACAGAGAGGTAGGACGGTGCTGTAGGGGTTGTTGGCAGGCTGCCCTGCGGCTGCCCCCGAGTGCCTTTCCCCTGACCCGGCCCCCACCCCTTAGGCTGTGGGTCTACTCTCTGCCTGGCAGCTGGCATAGCGGCAATCAGAGTCTCAGCTGTGACTGCCCCCTCATCGGTTTCTCGCGAGACCCATGTAGACACCAGATGGCAAGTTTGCAGTGCATTTAGCAGGGTGAGAACAGGTTTTGTTTGGGAAAATATCTCGATCAGCCAGTTGAGCTGAGACGGGGAGGGTGCCAACGACACGGCTGAGGAGAGCTGGTTACACATGCGCGGAAGGAAGTAACTGGGCAAAGAACAGATTGCAAGACAGTGGTGAGAGACCCCAACCACAGGACAGGAGGAAAGCCAGAGAAAGGGGGAGATGCAGAACAAGAGAACAGAGAGCCCTGAGGGTGCCTTGATTGAATGATTTTTACATACATTTTTAATTTTGTATGTATGTATGCATGCATACATGTATGTGTGCATGAATGCTTGTGGAGTGTGGTGGTCAGAGGAAGTCAGCTCTCTCCAAACGTGGGCTCTGTGGATGGAACACAGGTTGTTGGCTTCCGTCCTCCCGGCTTCCTCCTTTTGTTAGGGGGCTGGGTCCTGGCCTTAAAGTTTCAGACTTCAAACTTGTTAGCTTCTTGCCACAGCCTCTTAAACCCTAGGATTACAAGAGTGCATCACTGGACCAGGTTCTAACTATTGATTGATTGATTGATTGATTATTACTTTCATTTTAGACTAGGTCTCACTTTGTGGTCTTGGGTGGCCCGAAATTTACTATGTAGCCCAGGCTGGCCTTGAATTCATAGAGTTTCACCTACCTCTAAAGAAAGATAATGTCACTGTGCTCAGCTTTTTTTTTTTTTTGAGATTTATTTTTATTTGACATGTATGGGTGTTTCTGCCTGCAAGTATGTCTATGCAGTATGTATGTGCAGTGCCTGAGGAGGCCAGGAGAGTGAGTTAGATCTCCAAGAACTGATGCTACAGGCACTTGTGAGCCACCATGC